CTTAGAGTGACTGTTAACCAAACTCTCTTTGTGCTGCTACAGATCATTAATAAAGCTCAACAATCCTTTATTCATACAAACGGTTCTTTGAGTGTTCACAGTCCTACATAGAAACATTAGTTGTATTAAGAAACCCTGACGAACCTTCTCTTTTAAGAGTGTAGATAAACGAGGTATTGGATGATAAACATAATTCATACCGAGCTGCCATGAGATCTTTGGAAATGGTTAAACAAATTGGTATATTTTAGATCAAAGTTCATTGTATTATTGTGATTTGTATATATATATATATATATATATATATATATATATATATATATATATATATATATAGTATCTCACACAACTCCAAATATGGCTGGTTAGCTTCCCACTACTGTATGGCACTGTGTAAAAGTCTGAGAACCCCTTTCATCAGTTGTTTAATTTCCAGTCAAAATGGCCATTTAAAACATTCAATTAACCGAAAGTCACACAGAAGCCTCAACAACTAAATCTAATCTCAGCTGTTTGAGTGTTCAGTGAGTCACTCTTTACCTTTATTCCAGCTTCCATTCTTTTCAGGAGACTCACTTTCAGCTCCTCAAAGAATCTGCAGACACACCTCCAGAGTTCAGTCTTAGAAGTTGGTTGATTTTCTGAAGTAGTCAAACACATTCAGTGGTGTTGAGGTCTGGACTCTGGGGTGGTCAGTCCATCGTTCAGCTTCTTTGTTTGATGTGTCCGTCTCCTTTTCTCAGTGAGGTTCTTCTTGATCAGCTACACATCCTTTCAGACCCACAGCGCTGAGTCGTCTTCTCACAGTGGAAGGATGGACAGAAACACCTGTGGATGTTTTCAGATCTGAAGCAGCTTGATTTTCTCCTCTCTCTCAAAGATGAAAGCTTTAAGTGCTGTTTATCTGATGGGGGCAGTTTTGGGGTTTACTAGGTCTTCCAGGTGGTTGTTAGGGGCACTGTTTTCTCTGCAGTTTTGTAAACTCCTGTTTTCTTCACTTTGACTTTCTCCTTCATTATTCAAGTGGATTATCTTATATCTGATCTCCTCAGAAACATCTCCTAAAAAAATAATAACTTGTACTTAATGGCTGTTTTGACTGGAAATTAAATAAATGATGGGGGGGTCTCTGATTTTGCACCATGCTGTATTTCTGTCTGTCTGCATTAGTGCTTGTGTTTTGTGTGGTTGTTTGCAGGTCAGAATGTTCTTAAGCCCCTGGAAGCCCCTGAAGTCCTCTACAAATGAGGGAGGGCGGTAAAGAGAAGAAAAGAAAAGAAAGGGGAAAAAACATCAGCGGTGAGTCATTCTGAGTGTTTTTTCTCTCTCTCTGCGCTAACGAGGAAGAAGCTAACGTTTGACAGACGTAATTATCACAGTTTTGGTGGCGCAGGCTGTCAGGTCCCCGCTGGGCCATAATTACGGAGCGAGGGAGGAGAGACCCACACACTTTCTTTTGTTTTCCTTTTGTCAGGGTCACAGGAGATGGAGAGAACAGAAGAAAGAGTGACTTTCAAAACTCTCTCGCGTCTCCGGTTCCTCTGGACCGTCAGCAGCTACCGACCGCTATTCACCAGCCACAGTAAAGAGCCATCAATTAGCGCAGTGGAAACGACGTCATGCTTAGTGGTGGCTAGCAGCTGGTCTTCATAGTTAGCCAATTTAGCATTTTTGGGCTGCTTGTTCCTCTAAAGAGCCCAATCTTACACGTTCCTGTGTTTTCATAGAGCAGCAGGGGCAGCTGATGGGCCTTTTTCATTCCTCTCATTTGAACATTATGCTTTTTAACTGGTTTGATCTCATTTTGTTGGCTACCAGCTGCTCCGGTGATAATTAAGATTAACCAATTAGAATTATACACTGTTCCGGTGAAAGAAGGTTCTTCAAAGGTTCTTTAGTAAAGATAATGGTTCTGAATAGAACCATGAACATTCAAAGAACCACTTGCACGCTTAAATGGCTCTTTGCATGGTGAAATGGTTCTTCAGGTTGATAGAGAATGAACTGTATATGGTTTTGTATACATTTTTTTGGAAAAAGATTCTATATGGCACCAAAAAAGGATTCTTCTTTTGTTAAAAGCTTGACATAATAACAATAGCAGAACACTTTCTGGTGCTACATAGAACCATTTTCAAAAAGATTCCACATAAAACCATATACAGCACATTCTCCATCAACCTGAAGAACCATTTCACCATGCAAAGAGCCATGGTTCTTTGAATGTTCCTGGTTCTATATAGAATCATTGTCTTTATTAGAGAACTCTTGAAGAATCATATTTTAGAGCTGCTTTTGGTTCCTGAAAGAACCATTTTTAAAAAGAGATTTGTGAGTGTGAAGAACTTTTGAAAGGTGAAAGGTTTAAGAAACCTGCATGTATTGGTTCTACGCCAGTTTAAGGGTTCTTCCTAGAACTGTAATATTATGTGGAGGTTCTTAAACTTATAAAGGGTTCTTCACAAGCACACATCTCATTTACAAAGAAACATCCCTTCCCTTTTTTAAAAACATTGGCTTTTTTGGTATTACTAAAGATCCTTTGAAGAACCATCTTTTTAAGAGCGTAAGTAAAAAGAAGAAAGAAACAAGAAAACGCTCTAAACTTTCTAGCACCCCTATGGGATTTCTAATAGTATATTAGTACTAAACTAAGAACGATGATTAAAAACAGACATTTTAAGCTTGTAAAAGTCATTTCATTAGTTTTATTTTATACTTGTAACAGATAATAATGTATATTTTACCTCATAGCAGTTTTACAGAGACTCCTTCAGTATGGATCCCTGTTCCCACTGCTTCCATTTCTAATAACTAACTGAAACCTGGTTAGTCTCTGGCTCATATTCACTGTCAGTGATGTATCTAGAACTTCTAGAAGGTCAGGAGTGATGTTTTTTCTTTTTAAATTGGTCTCAATATAAATCAAAACATCATTGATTGATTCCTCTGTCAGTTCATACATATGTTTGGTAGTTAATCTAACGTGTAAGGCCTTTAGTTCAGCTCCTGAAGTCCTAACCAATGGGAGAGCTTACTTAGCTGTATTTAGCTGGATACCACAGAGAAAACTATCCTCATTGGACAGTTTTCTGTTGGGCATTTCAAGAATTTAAACTTTTTGTTTCAAATCTGAAAACGTACACAGTTTAAATAGAAAGAATGTTTATAATTAAACCAAAATTAAATCAAAGTTAAAGCCTTATAAGAGGCCAAGCTAGCACTGTCAAGTGATTTGTTGTAAAATGGCCTTTTTTAAAAGTTGATTTATTATCATGGAAAATGAGGTTTGTTTGAACCCCATTTTCCATGATAATAAAACAGCTGCATTTGTTTGAAAATAAAAACGTAGCTGTAGTACACAAACACTATAAAGTTTTGAAAGTGCCATTAACCTTCCAGTCCCTACAGTCCATATATGACAAAAATAAGCAAAAACAACCAGATTTTAGTTCATGGTTTGGTCCCACTTTGTTAGATGTCTATAATAACTGTGTAGTTACACATTAATAATACATGCAACAACAATGTAACTAGTTGTAATACATATTCACTGTTAAAGGTGGATTACAGTAATACAGCTTCTCTAAACACACATCAACTTAAGTTTTTTATCATGGAATATCACGAGTATCTTTATCTAGCTGTAATGGCATATTTTCTCTTATGTAATTACACATGTGTAATAGAGTCAGCTGTTGTTTTTATGACTGTAAATGTGGTTGTGTGCATTTTAGGAAAGTGCGATGTTTCTGTAATGAGTTTGCGTCCTCATGTTCGTACAAACATAATTATCCTCACCCAGCTACAGATGTGTAATTACAAAGACTTGCATATACTTGTTGATACTTATGTATTTCCATAAGATGGACAACTGTAATCCATCTGTAATGTGTGTGGAAGCTAATTACACACCTTCTCCTGCAATAAGAAAAGTCTTGTTGAAAAAAACAGCAGTTCACCCTGTTATACATGTGTAATTACATAAGAGAAAATATGCCATTATGTAATTCCATGAGTAAAAACTGAATATTCATGTACATTTACATAAGCTGTACAACCGAGATCCATCTATAACAGGGAATACATCATCAGTAGTTACATCGTTGTTGCAGGTATTGTTAATGTGTAACTACACAGTTATTACACACTTAATGTAACATGGAACATGTTGTTTTGTTTTGATGTAAACCAACACATTTACATATAGACACGCCTATTCAGCCTACAGAAGTTTAGCTCCACCCATTCATGCAAAAGTAGAGTTTCAGATTGCTTTTTGAATGAGGCACACCACAGGGCAGCCAATCACGATACAGCTCATTTACATATATATGTGTCTTAAAGGCACAGGCTATTTAATGGTAAGAGATATAGAGAGGTTGGAAAAAGGTCATGCAGAATGAACTACGGTTGTTTTTGGTACATAAAACCACACAAATGTTGAAAACTGATATTTTTTTGTGCATAAAATGTAACAAAGTTTCTGTAAAACTTCCTGAACTGCAGCGTTGAGGTCAGAAAGAGTCCTCTGTGTGTTTGTACCCACTCAGAAAGATAAGTATGGGTTTATAAATGCTGAATGTCAGCTTCAGAAGGCTACGAATTTCACATTCATAGCTTTGTGTTCTCTTGATAGAACCTTTTATAAAATGCCCACAGGCCCGGCTATGAGCAGCGCTTTCAGTTTTTTGATATATGACTGGAAATAAAATAGAATACATATGACAAATTGAACATAAAAAAATAAGATTTTCTTTTCCGTTTGGCCTTTTCTGCGCTTTAACTTTAGCTCTGATATTCCTGCAGCTTTTCAACAAACTAGCACCTGCATTTACATTGACAACAACATGACTGGGCCTCTTATACAGACGGTACCAGTGAGAGAGATGAGGGAGAGAGAGAGGCAGTAATTGTTTAGCCAGACTATTTCTTTAGACTCCAAAAAAAGACCAAGAAGGAACAAACTGACCCAGACTGAAATAAAGAGTGGCACTTACGATGAGGCTCGCATTGATGTAGTCTGAGTTGCTGTGATTGTTTTCAGCCTTTAAGGTGAATCTGGAGTGATCATCTGCAATATAAGCACAAAAAAACCCAGTCTTTAGTGTATTAACATCTATGATATACTTATAACATATGTATTATACAGTAGTTACAGACATTATGTGTCTTCTGTTGTCCATCTGCCAAATATTTGTACAAAAGTGGAAATGGAAGGTCTGTGAATGCTAATAATTCAAAAATAAAATAAAAAAAATTAAATTAAGCAGCCAACAACATGACTTTTAAGGACCAGGTCAAGTAGATGCTAACAGCTAACAGGGAACAAATGGTATTAAGCACTTAATTAGCATTAAGTGTAAGCTTGTACAGCATTGACATGACTTTTTAAGGACAAGGTCAACCAGAGATGCTAGAAGCTAACAGTAAATGGGTGATTTTAACCACTTAATTACCATAAAGTCATTTGCTCAGCACTTATTTTCCTTCACTATCCTTTAAATATAAAACATTGGTAAAATGAAAATGTAAATGTTAAAAAACTTACATTCATCAAGTCTATAGACATGTTCAGTGTCTAGTTTATAGCTCCTCCAGCATTTCTTCTGGAAATATGGGTATTAATAATTCTGTTGAGTTTATTTACAGAATTTTGCATAATGGGGAAAAAAAAACAACAAATTTGGCCAAAAGTTATGGCACATATTATGTTGTATTTGTTTCAATATATTCGATTCAGCAAAAAATACAAACCATGCACTAAAATTTGCATATATGTTTTCTTCTAAATTTGGCCGAATCTGTTGTCGGAAGAAAACCTTGTATCTATATTTTTAACATTTTTCAGTTTTTGACATAATTTGAAAATACCTGTTACCCTTTACATTGTCTGTAAATTTCGGATGTGTATATACATGTATATATACATATATACAATCACGTTTGTGATTGGTTGTGTCACTCACAGACGAGCACGCCGTTGGGACGGTTCTTCTTGGCGTTCTGTTTTTCCTGGCTGACAGAGCAGGCGGCCGGTTCAGCCTGATATCCACACAGCGCCTCCCACTCTTTTTCCAAACGGTCGCGGTTCTGCAGGTGATCCTCCATATATGACTGTGAGACACAGAGGAGAGAGAAAAGAGGAGACGTCAAAAACAGCACTCAAATCCTCAAACACGACACTGTAACTACACACTCTTAAAATGACGGTTCTTCAAAGGTTCTTTAGAAATACAGTAATCTAATCTTTAGTGATATAGATATCAGTAATATTTAGTCATCAGTTTAGAATCATGAACACTCAAAGATCCGATTGCATGCTTAAATGATTCTTTGCATGGTGAAATCGTTCTTATGATTGATGGAGAATGTGCATGTATATATATATATATATAGAGAGAGAGAGATAGATAGATAGATAGATAGATAGATAGATAGATAGATAGATAGATATTATAATAACATATAAGGTAAACATGTAATTGTCCATTTTTGTCAATTTGTATATATACATCTCAAGGAGATGTTCTTGTACATTTATGTATTTGCAGAATAAAAGATTGTTATTGTGAGAAAAAAGAGAAAAAGCAGAGAAAGACATGCTGTTTCTATCTCTGCATGCTGTGTGCAGAATCCGCTGTGAGTTTATGTTAGGCGCCTGTAATCCAGCTTTACCTCCCAGCTCCACCTATCACTCCTCTCTTTTCTTCTCTTTCTTATTCTTTCACTCCAAACAACAAAATCACTCGTCTATCCATCTACACACAGCAGCTGAAAGAAAGCAGCTCAGAGCTCAGACTAATCCCCAATGCACAGAGAGAGAGAGAGAGAGAGAGAGAGAGAGAGAGAGAACCGAGAACAGAGGGAGAAAGGAGAGAGAGAGAAAGAGAGAGAGAGCAGAGAGAGATAGAGAGAACAGAGAGAGAGAGAGAGAACAGAGAGAACAGAGAAAGAGAGAGAACAGAGAGAGAGAGAACAGAGAGAGATAAAGAGAGAGAGAGAGAGAGAGAGAGAGATAACAGAGGGAGATAGAGAGAGAGAGAACAGAGGAACAGAGAGAGAGAGAGAACAGAGAGAGAGAGAACAGAGAGAGTACACAGCGTATGGAGTCACTGTAAGTTAAAAATATAACTGTAACAGAAATATGGCTCAGTTATGTTCTGCTCACTGTGCAGCAGATGAGGTGCTGATAAACGTCCAGCTCAGGTTGGTTCTACAGCCTGTTTAGATTTAATGGAATAAAACCTTGAACATCACTCAGTGAATTTGTCACGTTTAGTCTGAGTTAACCAGATCTTCACTAACTCACTGTTTTACCAGTCAGAGAGGAGAAAAAGACCAGTCTGGTCAGGTTAGCTGAGATAACTGACCATCAGCATTTGTCTGTTTATCTTACAGACCTCATGTTGCGGTCAGCTGAAGCGCACAACTCGGAATTTCCCACCTCCAACTAGGAAAAATCTGAAACCCCTCCCCCTCAGCTGGGAATTACAACACGGAAAGTTAGGATGGTGTTTACACCTCCGAACTCAGCATGTGACGTTGACTCAACATGGCTGCTCACACCGCCAACAGGTATAAAAAGGTCTGAGGGGATTTACTCGATTTTTGTGAATCTTTTTAAATTTGCCTTTAAAGGCAATTGCATATAACAAGATACCTGTAGGAACCATTTATTTACTCATTTCTTATGATGTCTTTTTTTGGTATTCTGCCCAAAACAGGTCAAAATGTCTTTAAGTAGGTAGAGGAGCTGTCAGAGGGCGTGGCTGACTGGGAGCACACAGCTTTTGACCCTGTGTTTGCTGGATTGTTCACCTGAGCTCTATCAGTTTCAGTTTTTCTTATATTTACTTTCATTTTAAGCTCACCAGACAAAAAATTAGTCGTGTGTTTAAGTGGTAGTAACTTCAGACTCCTGCAGATGGCGTTGCACAGGGATTATCGGGCTACAAAACACCTGCAGAGTTTTGAGACAGGATTCATAGATTGAGAAAAGGTGGTAGAGTGCAGTAAATGTCTTGTTCAATGTGTTTCTTACTCTGTAATTCAAATGTGTGGAACTCAAAAATGATGTAATTCTGAGCTTTGACTTCCCACTTCCGAACCACCACCAGATTGACACCTTTCCACGCTCCCTCAAGTAAAGAGCATGATGACTGAAATGCGCTCCTCTGGCCTGCATGGCCTTAAGTTGAAATCCTGTCCATTTTTGTGCGGATCACCCAAGCACCTTACATCACCTACTGCTGACCAATCAGCATCGAGAATGCCTCTTTCTCTCTCTCTCTCTCTCTCCCTCTCGTCACTCATCTGACCTGGAAAAAGCTGAGCAGCTGAAGCTGCACGTCCACACAAAGACCACCTCATTCAGAAGATGAAGAAAGATATATCAGCTCTGAAAAGTGTGATAGTATCGAACGTCTCAGTCTTGTGTTATCATGCTTGCTGAGAGAGACGGAGTGAGAGACAAAGAGGAGAGAGAGAGATGGACAGACAGACAGTGGAGGGCTGGACCCTCGATCAAACACAGTTAAAGAGCGTGAGAGGTGAGAGTTCACTGAGAGACTGAGGATACAGACGCTCCGGAAAACAGTGGGGATACAGGAAATACGAAGAGAGAGAGAGAGAGAGAGAGAGAGAGAGAGAGAGAGAGAGAGAGAGAGAGAGAGAGATTAACGAGAAACAAAACACAGAGAGAGAAAAACAGACTGAGACAGAAAAAGAAAGAAAGAAAGAAAGAAAGAAAGAAAGAAAGAAAGAAAGAAAGAGTGACTGTTAGAGAGAAATGGGGAAGAGAGAGAAAGAAAACAGACAGGCAGAGAGAAAACAAAAAGAGAGAGAGAGAGATAAGTGGGAGGAAGAGAAAGCACACTGAGATAGAAAGAAAGAAAGAAATAAAGAAAGAAAGAAAGAAAGTAAGTAATAGAGAGAAAATGTGTGTGAGAAAAAACAGATGGAGGGATAAAAGGGAGAGAGAGTACTGTAATGGTGTTATAGCTGTTCTGTTTTTTTGAATTATTAAAAATATTTCAGTTATTTCATTATTAGAGTTATTTCAGAAGTACAATCATAATCTCAGGAATTAAACATCTCCCTCTCTCTCTCTCTCTCTCTCTCTCTCTCTCTCTCTCTCTCTCTCTCTCCCTCCCTCCCTCTCCCTCTCCCTGCATTCTAATCAGATTATGGTCAGATCACTGGAACCACACTCGGAGGTCAAGATGGACCCTCACCAGATTCAACACCACTGGAAATGCACTGCACTTCCTTTATCCACAAACAAGAACACAAGCAGAAACGCGTCAGCTGAGAGTCGAAGCAGAGCTTGTTGATTTGTAGGGACACGGAGGGGAAAGTAAACAGAGTTAAGACAAACATATGTTTTGATGTATAAAAACATTTCAATAAGCTGTTCTGGCCCCAGACTTCTGCCTGTGGTCAGAGAGTCTGCAGCATTCCATAGCTGACTGTAGCTAAGAACAGCCTACTTTGACAGGAAAGGGCCGTCTGACTGACACGCAGACTGCTGTTCTGTATGATGTGTAGGGGCTTTTAAAACAGAGTGAAACAAAACGTACCTGGAGGAAACAAAGGGGTTTGCATGCCAGTGAACACAAGAGAGCATCTCAACAGAAACTATTAAATAACTTTTACATATACAATAATATAACCTTCACTTTTTAATCCATAGACTACACATCACTGCTCAAAAGTCAGAGAATGCTTTTCATTTCTTTATTTATTTCCAGTCAAAACAACCAGTTCCTCATTTTCAGGAGATATTTTGAGCAAATATATAGGATAACCCACTTGCATAGGAAAGGAGAAAGTCAATGGACAAAAACAGAAATTTGCCAAGCTGGAATTCATGTATTTCTTAAAGGATACAGAGAAAATGGAACTCCTAACAAACCAAAAGGATGTGTGGCTGCTATAAAGCCATCACTGAGAAATGGAAAAAAGATTAATTTTTTAGAAAAACATCACTGAGTGTTTGGGATCAGTTGCTTAAAGAGAAGCAGAAAATGCTAAACCAGCTTCTAAGACTGAACTTTGGAGGTGTGTCTGCAGATTTCTTTGAGGAGCTGAATGTGAGTCTCTTGAAAAGAATGGAAGCTGGAATGAAGGTAAATGTTATCTACTTTTTCCCGATGCTGATTAATGAATGACTTCTACTTAATGGCTGTTAAATGAAAATTCTCGCAGACATGCATACAGACATGTGGTCAGCCAATCAGAACAACAGCTCAGCCCAAACACTGACCAATCGTCCTCAAACATCTGCCCACAGGGTGCATATCTCTGAACTGCTCTGATTTCCTGATGAACGCTCTCCAGTGAGCTGCTCTCTCCGACATGACGACCCGACCATATCTTAGCGGGTTATGCTGCGTGTGACAGGGAGCTTAATAGAGGCCATTATGCTCTGTGTAGCATTCATTATTTAGCAGAGGAGAAATGACTTTGATTAACACGCCTTGGAGGAGCTTTAATGAGATTAAGTCAATAAGAAGAAAAAGCGCCTTCGCTGGGCTCAGGATGAGGGGTCAACACTGCATGACCAGACAAAGTGTGTTTGATGTGTGGTCGAATATAAAAGTGGGGAACCCTGGGGACCTTGGAGGTCTTCAGAGAAGGTCTGCTGAGTTCTGGGACCTAAAGAAGTCAAGTCTATAGCTGCGTTCCAAAGCCTAGGCAGCCGAGGTAGGGCGGGTCCTCGGTAGGACTGTCCTATGAAGACTCCTTCTTAGGAGCCTATTCGTCAAACAAATGGAACAGTCCTAATGAGGCTGCATGGCGACGTCACCAGAAAGGTCTGGCCTCTTGCAATTGTGGCACAACACTCATGAGGGAACTGGTGCCCATTGCATTGTGTTTGCTGCCTTTAAATTTCTTCACGGAAATGGAGGAGATGTTCTTATGTAGTACGATAAGCTACATATATACAAATACTTCTACATAAAATACGATATATGGGCGATATACCATATATGGAAAAATGCTCTAGTTAATCAATCACTTTACACTTTACAAGGTAACGAAGACGAATTCAAGGACGTGAACAACTTACATTTTAAAACAAGCTCTGCTCCATCATTTTCGTGGTGCTGTTT